TGACGTGATAGAGCATTTCTGATGCCTAATTCGTGTTCAGCGCATCAAAGACCTTCGGAATACATGAATAGCGTTCTTGCGATAACTCAAAACTTTTTTTTTGCAGACCTGTGTAATGATACTCTATAAATAAATGCTGTAGACATATTAGTTTCTTGCACCATGCACATTTTATAATTGCTATTTTCTCACAAATCTCGCAGATAGGCTGTTCTGAAATTTCGAAGCAATATTCAACAGGATTGTCGAACGAATCAGGTTTTTTATCCAAGTACCCATTTTTGTACCAAGCATATTTAAATACGCTTTTGAATCCAGGTGAAGATAATTGATTATGTGTGATAGACTGTAATTTTATAATATTATTCCTCTCATGTAAGCTGATGTGTTATCCGAATTAAATAATGGCATCAGATATTTTTCTTACAAAGTTTTTCCAAAATCGAAAACCGAATACATCCAGTGGTTGAATTTTGCCTGTCGTACACTTAGGAATTGTCATCAATCGAAAATTTGTATCTGCTGGTGTCACTTCTCTTACAGTTCGTTCACACTGTCTACTCCATGAGTCTAGTAATAAAACTGCTGTTTTCCCACAGTTAGAAAAAAATACATGTTGCAACCATGTTTGAAGTAATTCACTCGACAGCTTCCCTGATGCACTTTATCGCAAAAATATATTAGGTGCATTGAATAGTTTTTTTGAAACATGGGGTCCCAACTCTCCGTTTGTTTCTTTTAATACCATAAAAAGGGGTGATAGCAATGTACTTTCTGCAGATATTGTCGGTTGAATCGTATAACTATACGTAGTCGATGATACTGATTGTACTACTGATTCGACTGCCTTCTTACCTTTTTCGCTCAATGTTCTACCAGTATGCATTTCTAAATTGACTCCACTTTGATCAGTATTATATATGTTACTTGCACTTTTGGTTGATAATTCTGTTTTTATGAGGTTGATAAAATTTTGACAATCTAACTTTAAACTAGCCTCATTTTCAACAGATACTTTAGTCACATATTTAGTTATTTTACGCTATACAATTTTATGCTTTTTTTTGAATAGTAATATCCACTTGGGTAAAGCTTTAAATCAAAGCATATCTGACTCATACTTTTTTGTAAAGCCCATCTTTTAAGATCTAAATCATGTACTGTTAACTTCCGATCTAAAGCATCTTTGAGTTGTTGTAAAGTATATTCTGAAACTTTAAAAAGATTCTCTCTTTTGGTCCCGCCTGTCAAAATTTGCTGTTTCCATGTTCTCAACTAACGTTCTGACGAAACTTGTTTATATTTTCTGTGGACGGAACTTAAAGACAGTTTCTTTTTCTTACCATTTTCCCAGTATTGAACAGCTTTTCTTTTATATCCATCGTCGAGTACCGTATTTGTTACCGTACAAGTAGGTACCTCGGCATAGTCTACACCATGTATTTCTTCAAATTGATCGTCAATTACTTCTGGATTAATATCAAAATCATCATTCAGGAAACATAAGTTCTCACTTGTCTCACATTCAATACCTGAATTCGTTTCAGTGCTTTTTCTCAATATATCTTCAACATAATCGTGTAGCTGCTTCTCTGTATCGTTTAATATAGGTATGCTTTCTACAACCGCACTTATGTGGAATGTTTTCAGTAATGTTTGACTGACGTTGTGAATTTCAATTGCCATTCTAACACAATTTTGATATTCGAAAACGTAGATGTAAAGCAAAGTTCTATTACTAATTTACTGAAGTATGCTGATCGAATATGCTTATATATACTGTAAGTGAATAAAACATGTTTTGAAGTTGGCACCACACAAACCGATATCAAATCAAGGTGCCCGAGGTTCCTCCACTGTTAGATCTTGGCTTATTACATACGTCAACGATTACGATTTCTATCAAGAAAAAAACAGTTGCAGTTCCAATCTTACTATTTAAACCACATGAACCGCATTCGTTGGTAGTGGTTTCCACGTCATGCCACAGTTTGAGTTTGTTTTGCCACGCACATACTCGAGAGTGTTTAAGGTAGAAAATAAGAGTAACATTATCTCATGTCAGTATTTTTATATTGGCCTCACGAAATACGTACATATACCTATTAGTATGGTAAAATCAGTTTGTCTAATGAATTTTGTCGTAATAACATAATAATCGAATTTCCTCAGGGACCGTAGTAATATTTGTTGAACATAATGATTTAAAAATGAAATTCCCCGTAGCTATTTCCAACTTCAAAAATTTGCATGATTTCGTAGTTGCATTTGCTATTTCCCACCTATACATAAATAAACGTAATTAATTAAACGTTATCTTCTACAAATAATGTGCCTTTGTCCTTTTATTTGAAGATACTATAAATATTTCGAAATCGGGATTATGAATAACAGAGAACCGGGTTTCGGACTAGAAAATTGGAAAGTGCACGGTAACCAGCTCGAGGGTTGATGATATTCGGGTGTAGGAGTTTAGGGTTACAGCGTGGCAGGGTAACCAGCTCGAGGTTTAAGGAAATTGGGTTCGGGGTGGTAGGCGATTAGGGTAACAAATGAATGCTCTGTTCACTCTCCAATGAAGGGGTAGCAGCCCCTGATGACTGATACTGTATACTTTTGTGTTAGATTTTAAACGGAATTTCATAAACTTCATTTCTTCTGAAAAAATTTTGCAAGAAAATATTTGAAAACATAGCTTTTCTTTCAGGCGACTTATGGGGTTGCAACCCCTGTAGATAAAATCCATATATTTAGCTGCAATTTTTTAAAAGAATTTTTTAGAGTTTGTTTCGTCGAAAACTGTACATAAAATACAAAAATTTCGCTATAAAATGGTGTTGAGGGGTAACTTGCGGGGGTAGCTTTCACCCTCTAAATAGTTTATTCGGCAGAACAAAAGTATACATGTGTTTGGCTTTTTTGAGCGTCATAGAACATGAAATAACCAGCATAATCTGCGATTAACAACTGCTTATATTGTATTAATAACATTAAGGGGTAGTTCACCCTTGAAATAATAGATAATAGGAAAACCCCGAAAAACGTCAATTTTGTTTTATAATTTTCTACTAAAATATCATTTTAAAAATTTTTATATATAATTTTTTGATTTTGTATCGTAAAAATACACTTAAAATACAGTTTTTCCTCTATACAACGTACGGGTTGCAACCCCCGTGGACCAAATTGATGTGTGTCAATTACTTTTTTTATAAGTATCTTGTGTTTTTTTATTTCATAAAAAAATATTCATTACAACTAAAGAAATTGCTATAGAACTGCTTTTGGGGCTGTTTTTTGGGGGTTGGTATCATCCCTTAAATAGCTTTTTCCGCCGATAAAAAAAATACGGGTCTTTTATTTTTTTACGAACTATAACATATCTTAATTGCAGAAAAATCGGAGGCGGAGGGTTGGGGTGGTTCCCTTGTGAGTTGGAAAATAGTATAGACAAAAAAATGTATTGAAATTAAGCATTATGTATTTTATCGTTATTGGCGGTAACTTTTTGATCGTTTTTTTCTAATATCAAGTTAATGATATTCATGACGAGCGCGTTGGTATCAGGTTCCATATTTCAATTATTTTTTTCCCCAGTGCATCATCTGTTTCAATTTTTCAACAAATGAAAATTTTATACCGAATTTTTAATTGCGAATCCTTCTAACATTTTTAATTAGATCATTATTATACGAAATTAACATTATACGTAATGTTTGTGTAAAGAGATCTGAAAATACATCAGCTATTATTATCCTAAGTATGCATCATCATATATACAAGATAAATATATTAATTAAGATTATAAAAGCATATAAGATTGTAACGGGTGAGGCAATCGTTGAGCTTGCTCGTCCTGTTTGCCTCTCTCTCTCTCTCTCTTCCACGTGCCCTTCCCTTCGCCTCTGCCACATCGGTATCTTGGTAATTCGGACTAAGTGTCGATGCTCGATGTGGCTTTGTTTCAGGTTTAGTTCCTGATCGGCGATGGTGGTTGGATCCGTGCGAGGAAAGGATATATATATACACATATATATAGAGATAGTGTCGCCAGCGTGACTCGCACATGTGTGCGTAGCCGGCGGCGCTCGGCCGATTTTGAGTATTGACGGAAGAGGGCGAGAATGCCGCGAGGCATTAGAGACGATGGTCTTATTAAAATCGAGTGAGAGTTAATAAGTGATCATCAGCTCAGTGGACAACTAGAAGCAGTGATCAAGGCTACTATAGATAACTCTCCCTTGCCTGGAAGTTCAGGAACAAATCATCTCGGCAAGAAGGACGTCGAGGAGCGGCGGAGCGACGCCAGCAGAAGCAGATCACCGGATTCTCGACTACGCCCCTTTCTGGGTGAGGTACTTCTCACATTATCGGTGCGCCCTTCAGTCTCCTCTCTCTCTCTCTCTCTCTCTCTCTCTCTCTCGAATCATCATCGGGACGCGGATAGGTGGATGCGTGCGTTAACCCGCACCGCATCTGCTGGACGACGAGATAAGCAAGTGTGAGGCGAAGCTTCGTCTTCACTGTGTTTAATCGCAGGGAGACGAGCTCGCACGGCCTTTCTTGTAATATAAATTGCATAGCGTTATGGATAAATAAACGAATGTTAACAATAAAGGGTTGAGTCATTCTTGCATTTCCCTGTTTCTTTATTGCAGCATTCGGACTACTGAGCGGCGAAAGTCCATCGGCGCCTTCCGTGACGAAGCGAAAGTGCCTTCCGTACTTCCCCTTTTTCTAAATAATTAGTAGCGTGACGTTATTTGGGCGATTAACTCGGATAGATAATTGCACTCCGAGTTAAAAGAACGAAACGTGTTACAAGATGTTATAGCTTAAAACTGAGAGACAATATATTTTTTTAAAAACTAAAGATGTTAATGAAAATTGCCAACATATAACATTTTACAATTATAATTGAATCATGAATTATATTAACTTCCTAATAATATGAAAATTTCAATTTTTTATTATTTCATATTCTAACTTCTTATGTTTAGAGTTCGCCTAGTTGTCAATAAATCAAGTGGAGATGCTGTAGCTATGAAAATGGTTAATATTGGCAAACATCCAGATGCACGAGAAACTGTAAAAAAGGAAACAACGATTCATCGGATGTTATCTAATCCATACATTATTCAATACTTTGGGCAACGCAGTGAAGCCAACATAGAGTATATATTTTTAGAATATGCATCGGGTGGAGAACTTTTTGATCGCATAGGTAAAATTTTTGTACACGAATATGACCCATGCACGCATTTGTTCAAAATACATCATTGAGTAGTTGTAGAATATAGTTAGAGTTGAAAAAATGATTTTGCTTCTTATAAACGTATATATCCAGATTTGCCATACTTATCGATAAATATCATTGCCATTATCATCACTTTTGTCTACACCCAGAAAAACTTCCAAAATACCTAATAATTAATAAAAAGGTGGTGGAAATTTCTTATTTTCTTCAAAAATTATATATTTCAATAAATTGTGTGTGTGTGTGTGTGTGTGTGTGTGTGTGTGTGTGTGTGTGTGTGTGTGTGTGTGTGTGTGTGTGTGTGTGTGTGTGTGTGTATGAAGGCGGTCCGATAAGTACTCAGCCTTACCGCCCGATGGTGCCACTCTCGCAAGAGAAATATACTACCAAGCAGTGTTTGCCCTTGGAAAGGCATTTTCAATGTTACTCATTGGATGCCTATCGACAGCAGCAGTAGCATCGTTCATCTAAAAAATACGAGGATGGTCCGATAAGTACTCAGCCTTACCGCCCGATGGTGCCACTCTCGCAAGAGAAATATACTACCATGTAGTACAACCTTGTCGATGGTTACTGTCAAAATTTCAGCCAAATCGGACTCATAGCTTTGTCGTGACCGCGCGTGGAAGCGGGCGTATTAGAAAAATGGAAAAAGAGCAGTATCGGTCAGTGACTTGATTCTTGTTTTTGGAAGAGAAATCGCACAGCGAAATCAAAAAGCGCTCGGATGCTGTGTACGGTGACTCTCCTGCTTCGATGGCGACCGTCAAAAATTGGTTTAACGAGTTTTAACGTGGTCGCACGTCGGTTTTTGATGAACCACGCCCAGGTGCTCCGAAAACGGAGGATAAAGTGACAAAAATTCACGATTTCGTATTGGCAGATCGACGACTGAAGGTGAGTGAGATAGCTGAGATCATAGGCATTTCAAAAAACTGCGTGGGTCATGTCCTGCATAAAATTTTGAGCATGAGAACACTGTCGGCGCGATGGGTGCTGCGTTTGCTCACTCTGGACAACAAAGGCAACCGTGAGACAACTTCAGAGCAGTGTTTGACGCTGTTTAAGCGCAGTCCGAAGGAGTTTCTGCATCGTTCGTGACCGTCGACGAAACATGAATTCACTGGTATACACCAAAGACCAAAGGAACAGTCGAAACAGTGGACTTTACCCGGCGAAAGTGCTCCGAAGAATGCGAAGACTGCCCATCGGCCAGAAAGGTGATGGCCACCGTTTTCTAGGATTCACAAAGTGTGATCTACATCGACTACCTGGAGATGGACAAAACGGTCACAGGGCTGTATTATGCCGAATTATTGGGCCGAATTGCAGAAAAAATGATCCTATTTGGCGAAGAAAAAAGTGATCTTCCACCATGACAATGCACCGGCTCACACCTCCGACGTCGCCACGGCCAAATTGGTCGAATTAGGCTACGATCTGCTGCCCCGTCCACCGTATTCTCCAGATTAGACCCCATGCGACTTCATTTTGTTTTCAAACTGGAAAAAGTCGCTCGCCGTGCAGAAATTTGAGTCGAATGAGGAGATAACCACGGAGGCCTACTTTGCAGACCTCGAGGAAACGTATTTTTCAGATGGGTTAAAGAAGTTGGAGTATCGCTGGGTCAGGTGTATCGAACTAAAAGGAGGCTATGTTGAAAAATAAAACGCCACTTTTTTTTAATTTTTGTTTTTCTTTTGTAGGCTAAGTACTCATCGGACCAGTCTCGTTTATATATGTTTTGAGTTAACAAAACATGTTTTGAAGTTTGGACCACATAAAAAGCAATTGATTAATCTTGAGTTGCCGTATATATATATATATATATATATATATATATATATATATATATACGTACCGCATATCATTGCGGTTAACGTGGTGAACAAAAATTAAAATTTGGTTTGATTGCAGTTAACGGTCACAAGGGCGTTTCGAAAACGTACATACGAATTCGCGAGGACTACTTCTGGCCAAACATAAAATCTGATATACAGAAACTCATTAACACTTGTAAATACTGCGAGATCTATAAGTTTTGCCGGCAAAATATACGACAACCAATGGTACTGACTGACACACTAGATACTAGTTTTGAACATTTAGCCTTGGACATAGTTTGTCCCTTCAAAAAAAAGACCAAATAAAAATAAGCGATGCAAATGTCAGCGTAAGTCAGGAAGCAAGTTACCTGGACGACACAAGCTAAACAATTTATAGTAATAAAAATCTTAACGAAACATTGTAAAAACTACCATGCAAAAAACAAAAATAAACCTCAGGAAACATGTACAATTCTTAACGAAAATACAATTAAAATTAAAATTAAAATTATACTCGGTAACCGTATCTATGTCGTTTTCTGTATATAACTAACCGGAGAATGCTGATATCACTGGCAGCCCTCACTTTTCTAATCTTAACCACCGATGCACTACAAGCTTTCCGATGTGGCCTTGGTCAACTGAACGTAACTACGATCTCCCTCGTACACATTGAGTCCTGTGACCTTCAAGACTTAAAACCTGTTCAAACTCCTGTTTATATGTAAATCCTACAGATAGTCGAGTCGAGTCCGCCTATGCGGTATGTTTCATCATAACTCTGACGTAAACAGAGTCGAAAATCCATCAAAATATTATCTTCCGATGAATGTTTTGACTTAGCTCGGTATAAAGAGCTAAAATACGGAGAGACCCTTGTCTTAGGAATCAAGATTAACACTACTACATGGGAAACATGCAATATGTTAGGTTCCATTTCAGATGAAGGAAAATTTTCCGGAGGTAGTTACTTCAGATAGCTTGTATGTCTATGTGGAACTCACGATAACTGTGCAAGAGTTCTACGCAAGCGTATCAGGAAAAAGAATACAATATACTTACTAACCAATACACAGTGTGTCTACTCGAACGGACATTGCTTTATCAACGAGGAAGCTTACGCATTCTGGATAATAACCCCAGTGTCAACGTGCAATTATAACAAATACGAAGTCCTAAGCCAAGGATAAGGTGTTAAGGTACATAATAACGTCACCAACATTTCCGATGTATATTTTGCCAACTTAACTGGCGACATAAAGTTTGGGTTATCAACCGGAGAAGCTTTCGGGCTATGCGGATATCGCTTCATCGCGACTGAACCGCTCTTCATCGTCGAAACGGAATTTGGAATGGAGTTAGAAAAACAAGTTATAAAGTACTCTCTATCTCTAGCTACTAGCGCATCAAACGAATATATATTAACGAATATATATTATCCTCATCATCACAAATCTGCCCGGCTACACCACCGAGACTGTTGGTTAGGTCGTACACATTATTCAATGCCAGGTAGTATCTTGCCGTCTCCGAAGCATTCCAAGTTGCTATCAAGAGTTGCCTGTGATTTGCAACAACAAACCATTTTTCCTCAAATCAAAAACACACATTTTAACAATTTAACAAAAAAATAACATGGTTTGAGACTACAATCGCATCCTTCCGTCAGCATACAAGTTTAAAGGTATGAGGTACACACCATTAAAAGCCCCACCGTTAATCACTCCAGCAATTATCCAGCCGATGACAAAACTCACTTGGCGCTACCATAATCTCTAAAGACTCATCAACGACAAAATTTGAATGAAATTGGGCACTATATCGTCGGGCCTCATCGCAATATTCATGATTATACAATCCGTTGAAGCAATAATGGATGTCATTATACACGGTTATACCTTTTACCGTATCTACAGCTGAAGCGTCCACATACTCCTCGAGCCCTGAAAGCCATCCCGAATAGTGACTGATACTTGAGACAGCACGTCAGACGATGACTTTCTTGAGCTCAGCTAAATTACCCACCACCACATTGAGTAAACCTAGACCTATATAATTTCTAAATATAATTTAGAACCTTCATCCTTTCGTCCATTTTTCCTGGAACCAAAATAAAGTCTCGCCAGAGCATTCTAACCTCTAACCGATCTCGCCAAGTGAACAGATCCAAGAAGTGGAAGTCTCTTTCTCCGGCTGTTTCTTTTCCATTGGAATGAGGTATTACGTTTCAATAAAGTTTACATAAGCAGGGTCGACACAAGGTCACCGGAAATTCCTATCTTTGTTGCTGGTTGTGTGGGAGAATTCTTAGGAAATGTCACGAATTCTCACGAAGTTGAGCGGCAAAGGCAGGCGAAATTAGTTAATACTGTAAAAATCACAACTGATTCGCAACCGCGTGCTAGATATAAAATGAATCTACCTTTATAAACGTCAGCAAAATACCTAATTTCCCTAATTCGTGATGAGCCAAGGTGGAGAAATTAGTACTTTTGCGATGCATTTTTTGTCCATGATAGTCTAGTTCCAGCATCACGTCTAAATTGTACAACTTTCTATCGATAAGTGTTGAATATGAAATATAGAAATACCGCTTAGTTCAAAGTTTATTTTTCTGTCATTCTGTTTTTCGAGAAATAAATATCTCTAACCACACAACCAACAATTACACGTATTTTCATTTTATAATTGCCGTTTATTCCGCCAATCCCTCTACAAATTTGTGCTAAGTATGTTTGGCTGAGAATACACAATCCATGATATAAAGTGAATATCAGTGCCAGTAGAACAAAAAAAAAAAGAAAAATAATAAATCCAATTAAGAGACTTTTGTAACGTTTGAATCTATCCCACGTTATGAAAACAATAGTTCGGACTCTTTCTGCTGTATTTGTAATCGCGTTTCCGAGAGTAGCAAGAAGTTGACACGTGTATATTCTAAATGAAATATGAAAATTTTTCGAGTAGTAAACCCAGTTTTCTAACTCGATGAATTGTCTTGAAATGCAATTGAGCGTCATTGCATCTATCGGGGAGAGGCCCGACAGCACCGCAACCAATACTCAACTTAATCTCTCAACAATTATTATATTAGAGGTAGGGAGATATCTAAGGCTACTTTTTTCTCATAACAGAGATAGT